CCCCCCCCCCCCATCTTGAAGGTTTTTTTTTTTTTTTAGTTAGCATGTGTAAGCCACGAGTTAAAAAAAATAAAAGCTGATCAAGAAGCATTGCTGAGTCCCACGTCTTTACTCCAGCAAATCTGCTGGCTTCTCAAGAAAAGTGTTAATGGTTTTATTAATGTTCATTTAACCTTAAATCCTTCCTCACTGTAAATGAGGGAAATCACTGCAAATGCCGAGGAAACTTGAGACGTATGTTTTCATTACACGCTTCCAGCAGGTCATTACTTTTGGCACAAGAGCGCAGACAGGACTCTAGTGTTTAGGATGTTTGTAATAATGTTGCTATGGTTTTGTATTAATGTGTCTAGAATGTGAGAGAACTAGCTTTATTTCTGATGTGAGACACTGACAATGCTGATTTGGCCTGAAAACATCAGTCTCAACAATGCAGGACATGAAGCTTTCCACTAAAATCAACCCCATGCTTTTAACTTAAACTCATACGATTGGACTTCAAATAAAGTGGTTGTGTTATTAAAGCTGCACGAATTGGTGAGAAATCATATTGTAGTCGTTTTCGTGTGATTTGATCTGCAGTATTTCAGAACTCAATACACACACACATTTATATAAAATGTAAGTATTGAGCATTGTGTTGTACTGACTTAAACTTATTGCATTTTTAAAAAATCTATTTAATACAATATTTTTATATTAAGGTAAAATAATTTTTTTTTTTTTACAATTTTTTTTTTCTATTTGTTTCTTTTAATAATAATTTAATAATAACCCTTACACTCAAAATAAATTTATGGCAGGTTTTTTTGTAAAGTATTTATACATTGTGGTAGTATTTGTTGTACTGACTAAATGTTTTTTTTTTTTTAATACATTTTTAACACAATTCATTTTTTATATTAGGGCAAAATATATTTTTATTCACCCAAATAATTAAAAAGTAAAATAAAAGAGTGAATGGATGGATGAATAAATAAATAAATGTATTTAAAAAATTTTTTTTACATTTTTTTTTATTTAGCTTTATTTTTTTACATTGTGGTAGTATAATAAAAATATTTTTATAACAAAACATGTTGTTGTTGTTGTTTTTTAACTTTTATTTTAGGGCAACAAAATAAGTTCAACCAAATAATTCAAAATCTGGGATATGAAGCTTACATATGAAAACTAAAAGAGCAAAAATGCATTAAAAATGAGTGTAACTGACCGTTTTGGCTGTTTTGTTCACAGGCGATGGTGGCATGTTATCCGGGTAAAGGCTCTGGTTATGTGCGCCATGTGGACAACCCGAATGGAGATGGGAGATGTGTCACATGCATATATTACCTTAATAAGAATTGGGATGCCAAGGTACGTAAATCATCTTTAACATCAAAAATTGTGATTTAATGTTAAAAGTGTATGATTTGAACAAATCTCACTGGACTTTTAATTTGAGGCATGATGTCTGGTTCATATTGCATCCTATTCTGGAAGAGTTTATGGCTTTGCGGTTTTCAAAGCATGCATCATTTGCTGAATGTCCAGCGTCTGCATACGTGCCGGTACGCCTGCATCATTTCAGCCTAATCCCATTAACCTCAGCAATTATAATCTCCAGAGAAAACCAGGAGGAGAAATCCTAAAACAGCTCACCGAGTCACGGAAATGAGGCACGAGACTCATTAAAAGAGAAAACGATGGTGCTGCTCGCACACGGACCATGCAATCAATTCAGTATACTTTGTAAAGATCGCATAAATGTCCTATCAAACTGTTTTTTTGAATGCTGTGTTCGTTGTCTTGTTCATTGACTCCATTCCAGTTCTGTTTCATACATAATATCCACCATATTTACTTTAGTTGCTTGGTTACACAGAGTAGATGAGATGAAAAACACATGCATGTGACTCTTACCTGCTGCCAATCCTGTTTTCTTTTCGTCTTTTTCTAGACTAGATTTTCAGAAAGCACAAATGATTTAAGATGAGTTACAAAACAAAGTTTTATATTTAAAGTTGGTTGCCCCTACAGCCCCAAATATTATGCATCTTGAATTTTCTTATAGGAAAAAGGAAGATAATTCTCTATTTTTCCTTGTTTCTCTCCTTTTTTTTTGGAATATGTAATTTGACGAGTTAAGATTCTTTTTTGAAATAATCTGTACTTGTTGGTTTTCGATCACTATATTTTAATTTCAACGGATGATTATTATTATTATTAATTATTATTATTATTATTAATAATAATAAAGTAGAATTGACATTTGCAATTACTATGTAAGAATTGTATTTAATTCTTTAATTTAATTTAAGAATTAAATTTTATTATTTACTTTTACACAGTTTGTCGATTTTGCAGTCTAAATACTGTAACTTTTATATGCTGTTATGATTGTATATTTCTTGCAAAAATTGAATTTTTTAAAAATTGCATCACGCTATGTATTGCTAATTTTTTTTACTATAGTAAATAAATACCTTCTATACAAACATGCACACATAAATACTATCCCATTAAGAATTTTGTAATATTTTAAGTGAAAATAATTATTTTGTGATATTTCTGAATCGTGCCATATAGGAAACATGATCAAAATGGCAAGTGTTTATACAATTTAAAAAAGAAAATCGATATATTCAGTCACACGTCGTCTGTGTTCTCAAATCAGAATTATTATAGTCGTCTAAAATTAAAACCATAAATAAATCATTTTTGTTACTTGAAATAACATTTCAAACTTAAAAATTGTACCTTAAAATATAAATATAAAACTATATAAACTAATAAATATAAAAACACATTTAAACTTTAAATATAAAAAACTTGAACTTTTTATATTTCAGCATTTTCATTGTTTAACTTGATGTACTAAAATAACTAAAACTAAAATTTAGACAAAAATGTTAAACTTTATAGATATTTATTAATAAAAAAAAGACAAAACCAACTAAAATTTTAATTAAAACAGAAAATATAAAACAATTGAAAAAATAAAAAGAATTCAAAATATTAATACAAAATATAATAGTATCTCAGTGAATTCTAAAATAACACTGTCTCAAATAATAAAGCCTAATCATTTTTGCCTGTTGTCAGATACAAGATATGTTGGGTCATAATGATTATTATGATGGTGTTGTATGCATATTAGGATAAACTAACATGTTTAAAGCACCGTGGGGGGAAAATACAACATCTGCACTTCACAGCATGTTAAAGTTTATTTCCCTGATGATTCTGCGCTTCTGTGCTCGAGTGCACGTGCATACGTGAGCATTCACTGTGTACCTGCGTAAAGCGTGTGCGTTCAGCTCCACGGAGAGAAACGTGCTGTGCGTGCCCCGCGGACCGTACGTGTGAAAGATTAATTCTCGCACCCTCAGCAGTCTGCTTCCCTGCGCTCGCCGAGGTCTCTTTATCCAGCATGTGGCCTTTTCCTCTCGTCCCTCTTGTATTTCAGGAAGGCCGCGCTCCGCTGCCGTTTCCTATCCTAACCTCCTCCAGACCTGGCCTCTCATTGTTTGTGTCGCTCTGTTATTTCTGCTAATGGAATTTATCATTATCACTAAAAAAGCTCCAGGCACGCACTGCTGAGTCGACTGTATTGTCAGTAGTCACGTTATATCACGTTAGTTTAATATGACTGAAAACAGCATTAGAGACCAAGTTGCATGGAAACAAAATAAATAAATTTGCTTTTACAATAATGCATTTATTACAAAACATTTAAGAGAGTTTAGATGCAAGAATGTGCAGCTTGCATTTTTGTTTAAGCGCTTAAAGTTTTGGTAGCACTTTATTTTAAGGAGCAGTTCTCACTATTAACTAGTTGCTTATTAGCATGCATATTACTACTAGCATATTGGCTGTTTATTAGTACTTATAAAGCACTGCCTTATTTTGCATGAGCATATTTTAGATCGCTTAATCCTACACCAAACCTAAACTTAACAACTATTTTACTAACTATTAATAAGCAGCAAATTAGGAGTTTGTTCAGGTAAAAATCTCTTATGTTAATAATGAATATGTGTTCCTATTCTAAAGTGTTACCAAAGTTTTATGTAAAATTTGACAATGTACGAAATTTGTCATTAAGTTTTAGTCAAATGCAATAACTTTCACTAGCATTTGCGGGAAAAAGAAATCATCTCTGGGTCAAATTGACTGGAACACAACATATTTCCATTGCAAGTCCTCTACTGTAAATACAATTTTTGCTCGTTTTTACGAACGGATTATTTTCAAACTAATTATTTTCTGTGCTAATTGACATTATAGTCTGTATTTTACATGTAAAACCTGTGCATGTTATCACACCCATTGTTTGGGTATTTTCACATTAAGAATTGTAAGTAATTGAGCATTTTTGATGATTTGTTTAATGATAAACCTGATCTCATAATTGAGTTCTCTGTTATTTGTGTCTTCAGGAAAATGGGGGTGTATTGCGGATATTTCCAGAGGGTAAAGCTCAGTTTGCGGACATCGAACCCAAATTTGACCGCTTGGTTTTATTCTGGTCTGATAGACGAAACCCTCATGAGGTCCAGCCTGCGTATGATACAAGGTCATCATCATCATCATCATCGCTAAAGCACACGACAAACACACTCTACACATACAATGAATTTTCTTCTCACATGTTCTTGGTCTAGTCCTGTTTTATAACTCATAAACTTTGTCTTTCTCACTGTGTAGATATGCCATTACCGTGTGGTATTTTGATGCTGATGAGCGGGCGAGAGCTAAAGAAAAGTACCTAACAGGTAAGCTCAGTGGGATAGTTCACCTCAAAATAAAATACTGTCATTATTATTTTCTGTGGAACACAAAAGAAGGGTTTGAGCAGTCGTATTTCAATATAAAAGCCCCAAAGGCCATCCAAGATTAGGATGAGTTTGTTTCTTCATCAGATCTGGAGAAATGTAGCATTGCATCACTTGCTCACCAATGGATCCTGTGCAGTGAATGGGTGCCGTCAGAATGAGAGCTGATAAAAACATCACAATAATCCACAAGTAATCCACTCCAGTCCATCAGTTAATGTCTTGAGAAGTGAAAAGCTGTGTGTTTGTAAGAAACAAATCCATCATTAAAGCGTTTTAACTTTAAACTGTCAGTTCTGGCTAAAATACGAGTCCATGATCCATAATGACGGCACCCATTAGTTTCAGCACATGCCCCTCAAAAGGTCTGTGCACGGCCCTGAATGCTACATTTCTCCAAATCTGATGAAGAAACAAACTCGTGTTAATCTTGGATGGCCTGAGGGTGAGTAAATTATCAGCAAATGTTTATTTTTGTCTGAACTATTCCTGTAGTGTTTTAGTTTTGTTTCTTAAAACCAAACAAACACATGCTTTGTGCAAGTTAAAAATTCTGAGGGTAATGTTTGTTTTCCTTCCTTCTTATGGTTGTCTTTTTGGAAAGGTACAGGTGAAAAAGGAGAGAAGGTGGAGCTAAACAAGCCGTCTGAACCAAGCTAATCAAATTATCATTAATCCGGACTTTTCCTGGTTACCAGCTGCATGGAAGAAAAAAAAAGAAGAGCGAGTCGGAAAAGGCTGCGGGTGTCTGTGACGAGAAAGGAGCAGAAGATTGAATTAATAGAGATTAAAAACTCTGCAGAATTCAACTACAGTTCCCACAGTTCACCACACTGGTGGTGGTTGAGGAGAGACCCCCCCACATGATTGTAAAGCGTACAACAATACACAGTAAAGCACTATATAAATGCATCATTCATTCATTCATTCATTCATTCATTCATTCCTTCCCAGAAAACCAGCTAAACTTTAAATATGACTCTGTTGGTTTAATTTTAGTTTTAAAAGGTACAGTACTCTGTATTACATTTACATTAACGCTTCTCATGTGACTGGAGTCACAGTGCTTCTGAGGAATGTTTAAAAAGCCTTTTGTTTTTGCTTCTGGGAAGAGTTCCTGCATTTTGACCTGATCTTTGTGAATCAAGCTGCACATCCATGCATGTTATTTCTCATAACTGCACCAGAACAGATCGGATCATCTATTCATATTGAAATACAGCCAATGCCCGCGAGGTAGTGAACTTTTGGCATGTTTATTCAGGACTGTGTGCTGGCAGATGCATCATGGGAATGTCATCTGCAATTCTATAGCTTTACGTTCTTACATGCACTAGGTCAGTGCGAGTCCAGTATTGAGCGTTATTGTCTGTCATGACCTGCACGTTATTGTCTAATTTCGACAAAATTAAAGCCTGTTTGCGTTTTAGATTTTCTGTGGAATTTCTGTGCTGTCCAAGTTAAGTCATGTGCTTAAACTGAATTTAGCACTTATATAAATTGATTGTAAACCCTATTATTTTATTATGAGCAAGACCATCTGCTGCTATTTAATTAAAAAAAAAAAAAAAAAATACAGGCCTTCACATAAAATAAATAAATCATGGGGCTTTAACAAAGATTTACATAAAATTGAATTGAGATCTGTCTCACTTTTTTTTTTTGTAGGTAAACACAAGCTTTACATATTGTAAAATATTCTGGTTTTCTGATCTACTAAAATTCTAGTGATTTTAAAATGTTTAAACACAAGTTGTTTACCGCCAGCGTCAGTTATTGCTGCAGTAATTGTGATATTTGTTACTTATGTGTTCATGCTGTCCATGAAAACTTTCTACAAAAATTCAGTTAAATGAGGAACGGCTAGAAAAATTGTGCAATTGCGCCACATAGTGGTCACAATGGTAATGTCAACATTTCAACATGATATCCGCAGAATTTTTAAGCCCTCCACAAATAAAATAAAATGCTAAACAGGGTAACTGCAAGTTTAGAATGCGTATTGAAATTGGATGTAACAATATGTACTAATATATAAATAGTCGTATATAAATAGCCTACATACGAATTAGAAGTCGATCGATATTGGTGTTTGCCGATGCGATAATAATGTGTTAAATAATGCTTTTAGTCTTTTCTTATTGTGACAGGGCGCCAGTGAAGCCACAAGATTTTACACTTGCCAGATACAGTTTATTGTGTATCCAAAATACCAAGAATATCCAGGAGGAGATATTATATCCCAAGATATAACACCCCGAAATACTTATCTTATTTTTAAGTGTTTATGCTTTACTACGGCCTTCAATTTGATCAATTTGCTGCTTGTGCCATATTATACAATTTTTATTATATTATTTTAATATAATTTTTTTTTTTTTTTTGCTCCTGCGTAAACTCATTCAAACATTTAATCATCACAGTACCTGTTTTAAGATACAGAAAGGACTGTGCCAAATACAAATTGATTAAACCCAAAGCACACCAGTGAATAAATGATGACATTTTAAACATAAAAATCAACCCTGCAAGAAGCTGACAGTTATGGGAGAGAACATAAATAAGCTTTACATCAAATATCAACAGAAGACTGAATTTTAAAATGAAACAAAATTAATATAATTTGGGTAAAATTACACTTTTTCTGAATTAATTATTAGTTTGGATTCAAACTACAACAATTATTTAAGTTATAATAGTTGTAATATTCACTTTTGACTTTAAAACAGACCCATCTCACAATTACTGATTTCGAATGGCACATATGTCAGTGTTATTGATAGGATATCTGTATAATTTATGTAGTGACGTTACATAGTTTCACTGTTGCATTGCTGCCCAGTGAAAACCCTGGATAGAGCGGTTGAGTGAATGTGGACTGGACTTTATGAATGAGGGTCATTGTGTCAGAGACGCTGTAGAAGGACAGAATTCCTGCACCGTGATCCACATACACTCCTATTCTAGAGGAGCTGGACGCTACGATGAGTTTAGTCTTTGCATTATTGTGCAGGAATATGTATTTGGGGGAAGAGCACAGCAATTTCCAGGACTGATTATTATGTCCAAACTTACACTCATTGTCACGTCCCTTCCTGCTGATGCTCTTATAGGACACCGATACACCCAAACGTTCACTCTGACCGTAGTCAACTTCCCAGTAACAGCGTCCAGACACACTCTCTCTACACAACACCTGAACTACAGAAACAAATCTGTCCGGATGATCAGGATACGGCGCGT